AAAATTATCACGATATGAATATTACTTTGCCAAATTTTGATTGGTCTCATTTAAATAAAGATAACTTTAAATATATTTTATGAAGTAGTGTTATTGCCGCAATCGAAAAAACTATTCCAAAAAAATTAACTTATACTTATAAGTTTAAATCCTAGATGGTTCTCTTTTGAATTACATACACCAATAAAAAAAAAAAGAGAGTGTATAAATTATTTAAGTCTATTGGTCTCAATTTATATTATGTATAGAATTTTCTTTACTAAGAAAGAAATGTAAATTGTTTTCCAACTTATGCTATGGAAAATACTTTGAGCATATACAAGTTTCTTTGACAAATAATCTAATATATTTTTGGAAATTTGTAAAAAGTAGACAGAAATCAAATAAAATTATTAATATTACGAACGATGGCACTAATGCAAATAATAACGACGAGACTGTTGTTAATTTATTTTTAATTATATTTCGAATTAGTCAATACCACTGCAAATAAAAGTACAATCCATTTTCAATGATTTGATTTTGATAATAGTTTTAGTAAATTCGGGTTTACTATGGTTGAAATTTTTGAATTTCTCAAAACTCTATCGATTGATCTTAAATGTGGCCCTGATTTAATTCCCGAAATAATATGTAAAAATTGTCATTATAAGTTATATTATTCTATTCATTATATATTTAATTTTTCACTTTAAACTGGTTATTATATTCATTAAATTTATATTTATCCTATACATAAATTAGGTAACCGAAATATATAGTAAAAAATTACCATTTTATTTAATGCTTAAACCAAAAATATTAGAAAAATTAATGGTACCTAAATTAACATCAGTATTTACTAACATATTTTTTGATGAACAACATAGATTTCGTTATGCCAAAGCGACATCAATAAATTTATTGGTGTACTTTATAGACCTAGTGTCTTTTGTCATTAAAAGTTTAAAGGTAGATGCAGCTTACGCGGATATTAAAAAAAAACATTCGATTGTGTTACATCCATTCTGTTAAAAAAAATAGAGTTAATAGTATCTTTTGACCATTATTGAAATGGTTTAAATTATACTTGTATGATACAACTCAATAACTAATAAGTTAACTAAGGAGGTAGTTCTATTTCATTGATTATTATCAATGTCACGTCCGGGGTTCTTCAAGGGGGACATTTATCACCTATACTCATCTTATTATTTATGAATGACGTCAAAACGTCTTTTAGTACTGTAAATTCTTAATGTTTATCGATATTTTTAAACTTTATGTACCAATTTAATATTATATTAAACGATGATAATAAATTACAATATGATTTATATCAATTTTTTGAATGGTGCTCATTCAATCGCTTAAGTAATAACACCGATATATATTTACAAATCTCTTTTTATCGTTGTAAATTAAATTTAACTGATTATCAGTATATAATTAATAATACGGATTTAAAAATAGTATCACAAATAAAAGATTTAGGTATTCTGTTATTGAGTGACCTATCTTTTAATAATCATATTTCAATTTAATGTGTTATTACAGCTTTATTGAGCTTTTCGTACATTAGGTTTCGTATGTTGCAATTGATCGGAGTTTAATAATCAAAATTGCTTAAAAGTATTATACTTCTCTCTAGTTTGATCTATTTTAGAATATAGCTCAGTAATTTGAAATCCTCATCAATCTAGTTTAATAAATAAAACTGAACGTATTCAAAATCGATTTCTACGTTTACTAGCATTTAAAACTAACAAAGTAGATACTTTTCTCGAGCAAAAAACAGTTTAAAATCGAATTACTTGAAAAGAGAAGATTTAATGATGTGCTTTGGCTTTATAAATTACTTAACTACCAAATTGATTTTCCAGAAATTTTGAGTCAATGTCCCAGTGTTAAGACTCGCATATCTCAAACATTATTTTTAAATACCTAACGGCAGAATTATTTTCTTTTGCTCCGATTAATAGAATGATAATTACAAGGAATTCATAAAACATTTTGATTTCTTCAATAATAACCCAATCAAGTTAAAATATTCACTCTAAAATGTTAACCCTATTTTTTATAATTTACATTGTTTTCCTATCAATAATTAATAATTTGATTTGTATTATAATTGAAAGTATTAAATTGTAATGTATAAACTGTGCTGAGCCTACTTGGGCGTTTATTATCAATAGAATTTAAATTTAAATTTGAATTTAAACTATAGGTTCTAAACAAAAAAAAAATTCTTATTAAAAACTTAATACATTTTTTATGAGTGTTAGAAGTTCTTTTTATAACATTGAATATTAACCTGTGAAATAACCTTTTTATCCTTAGACGATTTTTATTTTTCAATAAAGAATAACCGTTGGTTCTTGAAGTTTTCACAGATTGTTTACAATATAATTTTTAAAATTGTCTTTGTGTGTTTTATAGATATTTGAATTGAATTGAATTTTTTTAGTTTAAATTCTATACATGTCGATAAAAAATATTTAGATAGGTCAAACGCTTGAAATTTTACTCAATGTTCCACTTAAGTTGTTTTTATAGCTATAGAGAAATATTTTAAATACAATATAAGCACAGTTAATTTTTATAAGTACCTATTTGAAATTCAAATTTTAACAAAATTACGAAGGTTCACAAGTTATTTTGATTTTAAAAATGTATAAAATATTTAATTTGTATAGTTAAAGCTTGAAATTTTAATATTAACTACCTCATAAGTAGTTCATATTAAAACCAAAGAAATAAAATAAAATAATTTATTAGTCTAATATTTTTTCACACATTTGAATTTAAAAACAAAATTACATATTCAAAATGTGAATATTTAAGTTCATTAATTTGTTATAAATAAAAAACATCGTTTATGGAAATTTAAACTTTTATGTATAATATGCATTTCTCTACACGCATTGGAATTTTCGGAATGTGTAAATTTTGTTTATAGAAAATTTATAATATGAATCATTCACGTTGTTTTACAGTAAAGTGGTATTGACTCAAAAGTCAATAGTAATAATTTAATATGGTATAAATATACATATACTATATTATTTTAATAATCAAAATTTAAATATAAATAATATTTATAAATGATATGTTTTCAGTAAAACTAAATCAACCTTTTACAAATTAGTAAAATAAAAAATTTAACAGCAATATATATTTCTATAAAAAAAAAAAAAATATTATAAAATTAATTTTTGTAATTCAACGACATGCTAGGTTAACAAGCCACCTTCGCATAGAATCGTTTTTTGTACACCATAATAAACCATTGAATTAAAATTTAATTAAAGTGATCCACAAGACACCACTACTGTAGTAAGCAAAGCTGTACCCACTTGTTCAAATAATTTAAAAAAATTTTCAGTTATAGTTTATAAATAATAAATTAGGTAATTGAATTGTTTGAGAGTTTTTACGACTATCGTAGAAATACCTTAAAGATATCAGTTGTATTAATAGTTGGTCGAATATTTGATGATGAACGGTTTATTCTGGTAGAATCGTTATTACCGTATAATACGTATATACACATTTACACATCATACGCAGCGTTAAATTTTGTGCACTTAAAGTTATTTATCTGGTATTCTGACGGGCGAAACGACTACTGCAGTAGCACATTTTAAAACTAATACTTGGTAATAATATTACACTGTCGTAATTTATAAATAAGTTTTGAAAATAATTGTACATATTTTGTGAGATCTAATTATTTAATTTGAATATCTGTATATTGTATATGCTCATTGAGCTAGATATAATTTACACGCTTAAATTATATTATTTAATTATTAGACACGAAGTTTTAGGAGATAATTTTTAACATTTAAGCGTTATAATATAAAGTCAAGCAAAATCAATGTAAATATTTTAGTTAGTTAGTTATGGTACATTTGGGTTCCAGTTTCTCGACTTAAAACAAAATAATCTGGCAATGATTTATGACTTGATAAAAATATGTTATGTCACGTATCACATACTTACATAATGTCGTCTGCTACAACATAAATCAACTTTCGCATTCATCCCAATTATTTATATAGATTTAATCCATAATACGAGTATAAAACATACAATAACTATTAGTTATTACATTAATTTTTAATAAGTCGACAATCAATTTAATTCTTCTTGCCATGAACGCTATCGATCGTCTCAGCTTTCAACAATTTTTTTAAATCTTTACCTAACTATGTATTAATTAATTTATCATCTAGTTGACTAGTTGATTACATTTGTTACATAATAATATGTACTCATATCAATATACTATTTTAAATTTTATTTATTTATTAACATTTTAATTTAATATTGTATATTAAGTAATATTTGTGTTATTTCATACAGTTTATACTATATTTTTTTTTAAAGAGAATAATAATATTAAGAGTTGATGTAAAATTTTTGCTTTACATGTACGTAATATGAGAAATATATCAATAGCATAGTATCTATAATGTGTACTATATGTTTTTAAATTCGGCTAAAATATGTTTAGAATTTAGTAATATTTGAATATCATAATGGTTTCTCGATAAATAGAAAAAATAGTTTATTTTGTATTTTGATAGTTAAATAACTGAAATATTTTTAAGTTCAAGGACGAATATTGATTTATTATTACAATTTATAATTATATTTGAGGTGCTTACTTATATGATCTAGAAATAATTGATTAAGTGATTTGTAATACAATTTAGTTGTATGTGTAATTTATTTGAGCTTGCAGAATATTTACATAAATATCAGAACTTTACATATTTATTTAACCTAATATTATTTAATATGTTTATTGTTTCGGGAGAAAATATCCAATCATGCAATAATTTTCATCAATTAATGTATAATATCGCATTATTTATTTGTATATTTTTTAAATTACTTTACATGAAAAATCAATTGAACTCAGATCATTAGGTATTTGTTTTTTAATACGGAAAACAATTTGTATGCATTATAAGTATCCAATGTGGTTAATTTAAAAAATTGTAAGAATACAATAGTGAAATAATGCCGATTGTATTTGATGATGTTAAGTATAAAATATTCAGAATGCACGATCGAATGACTTTTGTTTTTGCATTGTTTTTATTAAGCTGAAAAATAAATAAATTAAAAATTAGACACATACTTTTGAATAATAAATATTTATCATCATTATTATTATTTTGTGGCGAACTTATTCTTATATTATAGCTATTTGTACGTTGAAAAATATGCATACAAATATATTATTTCGATTTCACCAACTTCATTGGATACATATAAAAAATTTAAAATCTGTATATAACTATGAAAAGTGCATAAATAAGTTATAACCGTTATAAGATTTTATACACAAATTTTATGTAAATTTTATAAAAATTTAAGTCTTAAATTATTTTTTTACAAAAATAATGTATAAAAATAATATTGAATTATGATAGATAATGATAAATTACGTGCGATTTTAAAATCGGAGCTTGAAAACAATTGGTATTTCTATGTGTAATTTTTTTTCCGGTGTTAATGCTTTTTCAATGTGAAATAACTAAAAAGTTAGATGTTATACATATTATACTATTATATTTCTATTCAAATCTATGGGTTTGATATTATTTTTATTAAGTATTGATTACGGTACGTACACATGTATTTACATTACATGAATGTGTCTGCGGAAAGCACCGTATCTGCACTATATATTGTGTAGTATTTTTAAAGTAATTTATAGAAACAGTGGTATATTTATGACGTGATTCTGGACCCAAATACCCCCAGATACGATTAAGTGATCCTCACTTTTATCATGATGTAAAAAACTGAGACTTTTTTTTCATCAAACAAATGATTGATAGGTTCATTAAACTTTACAATATTATTATATTCCTGCTAAATAAATTAGCGCTAGTAAAAATAGTAATAAGCGACTAATAACTATTATTAACTTGTTTTTTTATCATTAGTTTTAACCATCATTAGCACATTCTAACTTTCTAGGATCACTGCTTAGTAATAATTTAATTTTTGTGGGGTGGAGATACGGTAATTTTATCATGACGTAAAAAACTGAGACATTTTTTTTTTATCAAACAAAGGATTGACAGGTTCATTTTTAACTTTATAAATTTATAGTATTATTAATAGAAATAGACCTTGTAAGTGCTTAGTAAAAAGAATAATAATTATTATTAAATTAAAATTTTTTTTTATCATTAACTTTTATTATCACTCGCACATTTTAGCTTTTTAGCAACATTGTTCAGTGGTTATTTAATTTTTGTGGTCACAGGGGCTTCCTACTCCTACAGGGGCTATATAGGGTTACCGAGTCTCACAATTATGCCACCGTATAGAAATATCGATATTATTATTATTTACTGATTCGTCGAGACCAAAATCAGACCATCGCCTTTATTGTGCAATCACCTGTTGCTGCTGGTTCTGGTACATTTTCCACTGCTGTAGGCGCTGTTTCTGGCGCGGCCTCTGTGGCGGGCGCTTCCGCTGGCTTAACTTCCTCGGTAGCCGCAGGTTGTTCGCCTTCAGCCGGCGGTGCAGGCTGCGCTTCGGCCGTTGTGTCTGTGGTCGGATTCACCGGTTCTGCCGCTACGGTGGTCGGATCGATCGGCGCAGCGGTTTCAGTTGCTGGGTCGGTCGGTGCCGCCGTCTCGATTGCTGGATCATCGTGCGCCACTGACGGATCGGCCGATGCGACGGATGGATCGGTCGGATCGGTTGAATCCGCAGGTGTTGCAGGATCACCTTCAGCTGGAGGACCACCTTCGATTCCTGCGCGTAAAAACATAATAATATTATAATTTTAGTAATTTTATCGTAGTAACTATAATTGAGAGAGCTAGAAGAAATTACATGTATGTAATTGGCATTTATAAAAAATAAAAAAATTAAATACATTGAAAATACATTATGCTTAAGCAGCTTAAAAATAATCAATACATTTTGATAATTTTTTTATTGTAAATAAAAAAAATACTTTGTAAAATTGTCAATTATCTACGGTTATTTGTTTTTGACGTATATAAAAAAAGAAAAAAAATCGATTTCGTTGAAAATTGAATTTGTTTGAAAATTACCGTTTTTCCTTAATATTTTGTTTGTTTTTTCCAATGATAAGAATAAATACTAGGTATTTTTAAAGTTGACCTTTTTAAAGTACAATTTTATAATAGAAATTATTTTCAAAGTTGAAAAGCAAAGCATTTTTTCAAATACATATCGTATACTTGCACTTACATACAAAAAAAAACAGACATTATAAAATAAATACACGATCTTCTTTAGACTTATGGATTAGATTATTTTTGTTTTTAACTAAATAGAACTATCTTATGCCAATTGAACCGACTATTATAGTCTTCGAATAAAAATTCTATAAGAATTCTCGAATTTGTCAATATATTTACTATATAGAACGATGTTTCCACTTTTATGAAATTGATACACTTCAAAACTAGATTTTTAAAATTTGAATACTAATAAATTAAAAATGTTAATTGTATTAAAGTAAAGTAAAATCAATTAAAAATAATTAGAAATTCATTTTCAAGTATATTTGATTCAAATATGTTTTTAGATGTTTTATCCAATGACTATGAATTTGGTACTATTGATATAAGATTGGTCTGTTTTGTTAGAAAACACAGACAAGATTGCAAAAGATTTGTTCTTAAGGACTTTATTTATATATAATACAATACAAAGGCCTGTATTAGTCATTAGTGTTTTAGCTATTTTTAATTTATCGTGAACAGTGAACTATCGGCTATCACAACACGTTATTTAAAAACGTGTACTTATATATTATCATATTAAGTAGTAGGTATTGATTATTATTGCAAGGGGGAACGTTGTTTTTTTTTATTATTAAAAGTATGTTAGGTACTATACATTTTAAAATTAAGTTTAGGCGAGTTTAAAAGTTAAAATTTTAAACAGTAGTTAATTAAACGCATGAGTAAATACTATTACTATAGTTTGATCGGCAATTATTATTAACAGTAAATATTATTTATATTTTGAAACATAACAAGAATAAAACGTAAAGTTGCTTGAATATTCTTAGGAAATGTTTTTTGCTACCCATATTTTTCATGGTATTTAATAAGTCTTCCCTATTTATGTCTTGTTAATATAATACCACCAAGGACGTACATAGAGAAGTGTTTTGGGTGTTCAAACACCCCCCGAAATATTTGATTGTTTGTATGATTATTTACTTAATTCAATTTTAATGTTAATCGTTATATTATACTTTTAGACAAGTATAATATTACATTGTATTTGTGAAAAATCGGCTAAAGCAAAATTAAAATTTAATACTAAAAAATTAAAATTTTAATATAATTAAAAAAAAAAAAATAAAAATACTTAAACAGGATTTATAAATAAAATAAAATTATACCTATTGTATAATATTTTTTAATGACTGATTTTCAAAAACACCCTCCAAAACTTATCTATGTACGTCTCTGAATACCACTATTGTAATAGTGACTATTTGAACCTTTATCGTATAATAAATAACTATTATTATAAAGTTTTCAATCACCTTCGTCAATTGATTTTTGTTTTTTGATAGTGTCTTTGACCACAGAATTCAGTAGGGGTTGTGGTATGGCTGTAACGGCAGTCATAAGTTTGTCAACCAGGTCATCGACGCTGAGTGGGTTATTCGAGCACACGGTGTCCTTAAGATATGCCCAAAGTTCTAGACATTAATAATAATAAAAAAAAAACCAATTTGTCATTATTTACACTAGAAAATTAAACTGAATCAAAATTCACCTTCTGGTGCTGGGGATGGTGGTTGAGGTTCTGGTTCGGGTTCAACCACTGGTTCTGGTTCGATAATTTCGTTATCGCTCTGCGCGTCTTCCGTTGCGTCTGTTACATCGCCCGCGACCGATTCGCCTTCTGTAGTCAAACCGTCGTCGGTCTTATCATCTTCGGTACCGTCGCCGTCTTCTCCTTCGCCCTTTTTTTTTTTATTAACAGACGTAAGAAATATAATTTTTATAAATATAATATGATAATATGTAGTTAAGTAATTTAACTTAAAATTCAATTTCAAATGTTATACAAACTAATACAGTCTGCCTAACAACTATTGCGAAAGAAAAAATAAAGTTAGATTATATCAAATATTTCTTTTTATTATTTCAACCATTTATAATCTTATTTTGATAACTATCTCCACTTCCTTTTCTCCGAATAATTCTAACTGTAAGGAACTGTGCAACAATTAACAAGAAAGCCTATATCTTATTTTTACTAAATTATATCGAGAAAAATGCCTTTTAGCTTGTTAGCACTAAATATTTCTCAATTTCTACATTGTACATTAGTGTAAGAGTCTTATGAAAATATTTATAACGTTTTTTTCTATAAAAGTAATTCTGCATATTATAGTATAAAGTAGATAATATAATAAAATCATTAATAGTAGAAATTGCACTTATTAACATACAAACATACTCCAGGGCATTAGAATAATATTAAATTATTTAATTCAATCAAGTGTTTGGCGATTTAAAAAGTCTTACTTCTATAATTTAATGCCATATTTATTGAATACAGTTTTAAGCATATTGGTTATGTTTGTTTTGTTAATTAGGTATCTAAATTATAGACAGGTATTAATTTAACGCATGGATGAAAATTTAGAAAAACCATATAACTAAAAAAAAAAATAGAACCCTAATTATGTAAGTGATGGATATTTAAATTTTATAATTTTCTATTGATTATAACTGTCGTAGATGTAGATATTAAAAAAGAGTAGTTTGATAATTGTAATTAATTTTATTTTAAAACGACTACGCTTTCGCGGATCATATTTATGGGTGATATACGATTATGAATGGAACGATTGCAAACGGACTTTTTCCTGTAACAATGTAACAAGATTTTGAACGTTTTAATTTACCTTTAATCGTGCGGTGTTGCCAGATTAAATGTTAGTCAATTACAAATTTTTAAAAAATAATTTTTTAAATAATTAAATAGTAGGTATAAGTATTTTCTGCTATTACGCTATCAAAACAATTTACATAACCCTATGGCCAAAAAATATAAATCTAAAATTGAGTCAACATTAAAAAATTGTAATGATTATAAATTATAATTTATAAAATCCACAAGGATCCAATTTTATATTTACAAAAAACTGGAAACTCCTAACTAAGAAAAAAAAAATAATAATGAAATACATTTTAAAAATTATAAATTTTTTTTATTTTTTTTCAATTTATACATTATGTAACAGTATTATTAATATTTATACTCCGGAATTATTTTAATTATTCAACATTTTAAACACTTCATATTATTCTATATTATTTTATTTTAGTTTGTAACGTAGCTATAATGTAACATTGTATTATTAATATCGAATAGTTTTTATTTAAAAAAAAAAAAATTAATTGAATTCTCAAATAAAATTAAACATTTTTAGAAATTATAAAATTAGTAACGTAGCCTATAAAAACGTTCGCAATCGTTCGTTTTTCGGCTAAAAAAAACAAATTTTAAGATAAGCGACATTCGTTTGCAATTGTGTTATAAAAAAGGTAAAACATTCGCAATCGTATTGCACCCATATTTACTCGTATTATATTGTTACAAAGAAGTGAGAAAAAGCTAAGATCGGGTTTTTTATACCTATGTACATATACAGCGTATATTTTTGTCTCCGTCTATTATAAACGGAGAAAAAATAATAATGCTGCACTTTTATAAATAAATAATATTTATATTTTAAAATAAATCAGACACTGCTGACCTATAAAAATAAAATATATTTACATGGTGCAGTATGGTCGCATACATCCCCTAAAATTTATTTCAACACACATTTTTTTGATTTTTTTTTTTTTTTTAGTAATATGATATATGTACTGAGAATTGGAAATACTTACAAAGAAAAAAAGATAAAACTCTGGCTTCGAGCCATCTGTGTAGGATACGAACATTATCTATATGGAGGGGTTTGCTTGTATAACTTTTTTGGTATTTTCACACGACATTTTAAAGGCGCTTTCTTACACTCTCATCACAATAATTTTTTTCCTTTTCTGCCCAATATTTATAGAAAATGTTAATTCATCATATTTTTCTAACAATCAGATTTAGGGTACCAGAATATTTCTTTGTATAGATAAGTATTTCTACCAGTAGCGTAGCTACACATAAATGCGCTCCCAGGCAAAATAATTTTCTCCCCAAAAATAATAGAAATTATAATGTTTGTCACTAAAACAGTGTTGCGAGTCTCTAAAAAATTTTCATGCTTCTGTTGTTCTTACGGTAGCTACGTCACTAGTATCTACTATAATAAATATTATTGTTTTGTAATCTATTTCGAATTTTTTGTATTTTTTTAATGCTTGCCCTATGTTTTACTTTTTTTTTATATTTCTTCTTAACAATTAACGTTTATAAATCTTTCTCTATGTTCTCATGTGATCTCTCAATAAGCATTTATAGCTGTCTAAAAATATTTTTTTCTAAAGCAATTAGTTTCTTTGTTAAGTATAATATAATATATTATTTTAATACTATATATAAAAAATATTCAATTTACCTGAATAGCTGCGACGCCAATTTAACATTACCATCAATCAGTGTAAATGTGCAATAAAAATGTTAAAGACAAAAGGATAACACTTAATAAATTGAAGAAATCCTCGTGATTGACAAACATTGAGAATGTATAAAGTATAATCATAATTATTTATGCAAAGGAACTGATGCTGGATAAAAAATTTAATTTATTCATGCATGATGTATATTATTATAATATACGAAGTTGATAAAATCAAATATTCCTGTAAAACTGATAGAAATGCTACACATAATTATAATTTTATTATTTCCATTGTTTATAAATCGAAAATATTTCTTGGATAAACATTGGAAATGTCAACTAAAGTTCATTAAATTAAGTTTTTTTTTTAGAATATTCCTATAAACTGTATTAAATATTTAAATTAGTGAAAAAAAATAATTACAATAGTAAGTGTTGAAATTTATGTAAATTATCGTTTTGAGTCATTGAACAGGAATAGGTATTAGGTAGAAGTGCATTGTAGGGGTTTGAGTATAACGTGATTTTTTTGAAGGATTATACAAAGGTAAAGACATAGGTTGATTGTTTAGGTCTGTTAATAAACTTGTACACGAAATAACTTTAATGAGACATTTATGATCTGTCATGTTTGACAACAAATATTTTGGTTATAGTTAATAACAATTACATGCTGGTGTTGAAAGAACATAGAATAATGAAAATAAATAAAACTGGGTAAAAATATGCAATTCATTGAAAATACAATGATAAACTTTGTTCGAGGTCTTTATGCCTCGTATTCCACTTCTTCCTTTACCTTCTTTTCGTCTCCCTTTTTGGACCAATCGGGTTTTTTCTGTTGCAAAAAAAAAAAAAAAAAATTATAAAGTATGTAAAATCGTTTTTTCATATATATATTATATATATATATTTATATAGGTAGATATAACACAATACAATATTGGAAAAATAATACGGCAAAAACATGAACGTACTTCTTTGTCTTCTTCTTCCAAGGTAAACTCCTTTTTCTTCACTACTTTGAGTTGATTTCTGAAGTTGAACTCCGCTGCTTTCTTTTGGAGTTTTGCGAATTTGTTTTCGTATTTGGAAACCTTCTTCAAAGTTGGTTTGACGCTGGAAAAATAATAATAATGTAAAAAAATGCACGAAGAAATGTTTACTTGGCCACAGTGTAATTTGTTGATACTTACAATTTTCCTCGTAAGTCATTGACTTGGCTGTTCAATTCGCTGATCTAAAACATCAAAAATATTATTTAAAAATAATCATACCATATTTGGTAAAGTTAGTCATTGTTAAAAACATCTCATATAGTAAAATAATTTAGTACAATAAGCGAATACAATGTTAAACAATGGTTTTCGTTAGACGGGAGGTGTATAGTGCAGGTGCCTACGTATTTAATATTTCAATTTTCGAAAAAACAATTTTGTTGTTATAATATAACTATTGAAAATAAACTCCAAATACATTTTTAAATCGTTTAAATTTGTATGGCATTTTTCTTTCTTTTTTTAATTGGCTGATACATACATAATTTCAGCAGATGAATCATGCAGACGAATGTATTTGCATGTGATACATGTCAAAAATATAATTAAATTATAAGCATGTAACATATGCTCGTTTATTTTTGGATTAAAAACTCGTTGTACATAAAAAATAAATTTCTGGAGCTCGTGAATAAAAATGCCACGTCTATGTAACTATTGTTATCGTTATTCGTTAGCCTTTGTTTTTACAAATACCGATGAAATAATTTCATTATACAATTTGCTTCTGACAAAAACAAACAGACAAGACCTTTGATCTTTGTCGGCGAACCATAGGCGAGTATGCAATAAAGCTCGATTTAATTAAACTATTCTGGTAATTAAATATATTGCTCAGTGAGTTAATCGCTTTATGGGCTTAAATTAAACATCACGTATTAGTTTATTAAGCTCTCTGTGTTCTATTATTATTATTATCGACTATAAATGCATAATGGGGAAACGAGTTTAACGAAAATGAATATATTAAGATTTTATGTGGTAATTATTAAGTATCCCCTTTTAGGATAATTATTGGTCAATATGCAGCTCAAGTATATTAAAAGGCCACTGCCTACATTTCCATAATACGTATTTAATATAATAATATTATAGTCGTAAAATATGAAAAATATTGCATCTATCGAATAAAATATTTAAATAACATTATTCCTACAGCTATTTGAAGGATTATAGTTTTTTTTTAGTCGTCTATAGTGTTATACTTTTATCATAACTATTGCATATAGAACAATATACTAAAAACAAGTGCATAGTATCCCATTGAAAAAGTTTAGTATTAGTTAAAAGTTAAATAATCACAATTAATAATATTTTAAAAATGGTCCATGTAAGAATATTAATTTATAAAAAAAAAAATTAGTAAAAAATATCAAAAATTGTAATAGTAATTTGTGATAAAAAAGTATTCTGACGACGCAATCATCAACATGCCGTGGGTAATAGGTGCATGTTGCAAATTACCTCAAAAACTTTCATCCTGATATCTCTTTCCAAATCAAATTTTATTCCCTCTATGGTGTAAACCCGTTTCCATAATTCTTCGCAGATTTCCGTAAGCTCCTCTAAACATCAATACTGTAAGATAGTAAAATAGAAAAGCAAAACGGACACCGATTTGAACAAATTTTAAACAAGTTCATTTTTTGACGTCAGGGAGCTGTATTGTAACCAAATTGTACATTATATATATTATATAACGTATAGAATATTCATCTTACGATTTTACAATTAATTTTCGATACGGATTAACATCTGTAGTAATGTAATCTATACATATAAGTAAAATATCTACGTCCTACGCGTAATATATAATATACACACACACATATAAATAAATATACCACTCATAAAAATAAAAATAAACCAGAAAATAGTGAATTTTGTGCTGTTTGAACGATTTGAAATTAATGTTCTCTGTATTATATTATTATTATTATTATGTATTATTATATGTGTGTACTACTCGTTTTGGCAACTGTATACAGTGTGGTTTTTTTAATTAAGCATTAGTGTTAACGTTGGCCCGCAGCACGTACATAAAATAAAACGTCAACTATACAGATGCCCTTGTGTGTTTGAAGATTTTGACGTTAAGCCAAAGAAAAAAAAAACTGAGACGGTCAATATATAGGTTGAAGTACAAGACGGACGACAAAATATAAATTAAAAACACTGTAAGAAAGAAAAGCGTACTACGCTCTTTTTCCGGTTAAAAAAAAATTTTTCGGACGTCCTAAGAGTAACGAAAAAGCGTATACGAAAAAAAGCGCATCGAATTATTTTTTCGAAAAGCTCGAAAAGCGTTTAAGTAATTGCATAATATATTATTTGAAGCCAAGCGGTAAAACGACGACCATCTAACCTCGAAATCTTTCTTTTTCACAACGTATTCCAAGTCGAACTTTTGGTCTTCTAATTTTGTGATCCTGTCGTAATACTCTTTAATTACTCGTTTGATCGTATCTATATTGTGTTACGTTTCGAGAGAAAGCAAACAGAAAAAACAAATTAACAAAAATAATTTACTCTGCTTATCGTTGTATGCCGCACGTCGTCGGACGCGACCGACAATCAAACTGGCACATAAATAATACCACCGCTACAGCGGCGTCGGCCCGTCGCCAGGAAATCTCGCGATATTCTAACAGCCATTTAATAATAGTAATAAAAATTCAACCGTTTACCTTCGCCGGCGTCGTCGATGTTTTTCGGTTGTCCACACCGTTCTTCGATGATCCGCCTTCGTTCGGCAGCTTTGCGTTCTTGTTCTTTCTTCAACTCTTCGGCTGCCTTTTTTCTCAACAACAGCTACACGCCCAGCAATGATAGGAAAAAGCGACGAGTATAAGATTAAAAGATTCCCAGACTTTAAAATATAATTGTGTGCAGCTCAGCCTTATACTTACACGGAGTTTCTTCTTTCTATCCGGGGTCATGAAACCCTTCTTGGCCTTCTTGGCTTTGGACGCCTCTTCCATACGTTTGCGCACTTCGGCCCTTTTGCGGTCGATTTCCGCCTGTTTCGCTTTCTTAGCCTGCGTAGGTATACGAAAAACAGATATAATTGAAAAAAGTCGACAAAGAGCACTGCTACGCCTCATATACAAGGGATACACGCAATGCTAAAAATAATAATGCAATAATAACAATTGCGTGGGTTAGAACTCACTTCGTCGTCGGCCATGGTTTATGGGTTGTCTTTTGCTTTTCGAATGGAAAATAAAATAATCTGAAATTATTAAAACATCGGTGTTAACGTTGCAATCACTGTATGGTCATATTATTGCGTATGTTTTTGGGTGCAATTGATATCAATAATTATTATAACGATGACGTCAATCGTAGGTATTTGGCAGCGGGAGTGTAAACAGGGTTTCGCGCGATTATTATTTATTGTTGAACTATATACCGTTCGGATCGCGATTTCCGTGGACAAATATCATTTCGACTTGCTATGCCGTTGGGATATTTTACAGCAAGTTAACAAAAGACGACTGCCAATATCATCATATCATTATAATATATAGTGTAATAATGAATTGTGCGCTTGTAAGTCATTACGGTAAGGGGAACGGGGTGAGGTAATATAATATCATTATTGCGAACAGCGGGTGCAGTATATGCTGCTGTATAATACATACATACATTTGCATATCATATATAAATGTATACCTACCTATTAATAACAATTAATGTAAAATTTATAATAATATTACGGTGTGTTGTGGTACCGTCAGGAGCTTATAAAATTACGGTTAGGTTAAGTTGAATGTTATACAAATGAAAAAAAAGTGGAGAAAATAATCAAAAAAAAAAAGTTATAAAATAAAACTGAAATGTTTTGTGGCATATAGACCAACAGAAAATATATTAAAAACAACAATAATAATAAAAATGTTTAACCTGGACTCTGGAAGGCGGCGACAGCTGACTTCGCAGGACTTCACCGGATTGAACAGGACTCGTCACTGTTTCGCTTAGGAAGACGAGCGCGTTACACTTGACACACAACACGCCTCACGATTGGTCGGCTGCGTCGCCGTTTATTTATAGCGCAAAGCTTTTACTTTTAGCCGGACGCGGCGAACGGCGACCATTCGGTACGCATACGCGCGCACGCATTTATGTATATATATGTACCTATACACAACTACAAGCACGCGAGAACTTACGAACGGCATCGTATGTTTCCGTCGCTGTTCGCCACGTCTCGATCTATTTTTAGACAGCGTTCGCGACTATCGCGCCGCGACCTGCGCGAATACTTCGGGGGACTGTTCGTAAGTTCGTAAGAAATAATAATAATAATAATTATTATTATTATAGTGAACGCATTTTAAAAATCATAGCGATAAATATTATGTAATACTCAAGTATTATGATTTTTTTTTTTTGTTTTCGCCCTCAATTCTAACGACACTATGGGTGGCTGCGGCGGCGTGTATAGAACTAATTACACTACGGCGACCGACTTTTGCGTTTTTTTTCAGTGACGCAGGTACGTCCATAAAAATACCAAAGAATACGACGAATGATGACGATTTGTGCAGTCAGTGGCGATCCACCATCCACTGCGTTCAATACGCATTATTTAGGCGGGTCAAGGATCGTTTAGTATCACAATATATATATGTATATGGACGTAGTATACAATACATTGTACCTACACGTCTTTCGGAGGCTGAACGTGTCGCGAATCAGCCGACTATTTCCGGGCTTGATTCTTCGCCAGCGTCATCATCGTCGTCGATATACACTTATAATAATAATATGATAGTCGGCAGTGTGGGCCACGAATGTAAAGTGATTTTCCGGTGATAACAGGTGTCAAACTTGTCGTTAGCAGAGCGGGAAGTGATAAGAAGTTCGAGCGAACGATCGAAATTATAATATGATGTATAAATACATGTATATATATTATATCGCGTGAGATCGTAATCGGTTCATAACATTAAATACAGAAACAATACATTTTTACAGGCAATATAAAATTATAAAACTTGTTTTTTTATTTTTGAGTTACTTACTTGAATTGAACAAGTTTTTATTATTTTGGAACTGAGATAGAAAAGTCTGATTAATATTATTTACTCTATTATTAGATTTCTCCTCAAATTTCACCTAGTTTATTCTTTATGCTTTGTATACATATAAAGACGTTTCTACACTGTTATTCCACAGTTTTGGACGTACTTTTGTTTACAAGGAGTTCCGATCTAATCTTAGATTTTATGAATCTTAATTAAGCAATGAGTCAATAGCAAGTAGGACAAATTCATATTTTAAAATTATTCATTTAGACAGTGTAAATATTGTTAAAAATCAAAATCATAATATTGAATGAAACTAATATAATACATATCATAATATTCATAATACATATTATTGCATTATTTTAAACATTATGATTATACATTCATTGCACAGACGCGAATACACGTTTTAAAAATAATTATCTATAATTATATTGAGTGAATCTAATACGTTTAAATTGTAGTAGATACAAGAGATAAGTTGCAGACTTTGTAGAGATGTAAAAGATGTAATTATTTTTCCAAAAACAGGCAATAATAAACTTTAGACGATTGGAAATATTGTTTTATAGTGCTTAAAATTTAATTATGTTGAACATATATACATATTATAATGTGACATTAAAATTTAAAAAAAATTCGGTCACATTCAAACAGTTACATAATAATTAAGATTTAAAAACTATTGTTTTATCATATTATATTATTGTTATTAATTTGGATTCAAGTTTTGGTTCGTAATTATTTTGTAGTTTAATATTAATAAAATATTAAATTTATTTATTCTAAGTGAAATTATTATTATTATTTAGTTATTACTAAAACCTAAAAATTAAAAAAAATATTATTACGTTTTTTTATAAAAATATTTGTAGTTTAATAGTCTAGTTGGGTTAAATATAAAAACGTATTTCCCTCTAACATTTTAGTATAATTGAGAAAAACTAACGTAAAGGCGAGAAAATACACGAATAAAAATTAAAAGTTCATCAAAATCATAAAAATATGAAAATTGTAATGATAAATTTCAAGTTAAATAATATTATTTTTTTTTACAATAATATTACTTATAAAATAATCTCTGGTGATATATCAAGTTTCTAAGGGGCATAGCCAGCAGTTTTATGCTACCGACGTAATTGGATGGGTGACCATTTGTTTTGCTGATAATTTTTATTTTTTAATTTTATGTTTAATACAAAATGCTTTATATGTTTTCCTATATGCATAATACCACGGATATTAATTGAAAGAAAAACATTTTTTGCAACTTAATTGTTTTTCGTATACAATTAAATATTTAAAGTATTCATGTTAATTTTTAACTATTCATAATATTTACACAAGTCAATTGTATATTAATCATATAATCTCTACGAAGAACCTTTTATTACATTTCAAATCTTAGGTATGAATATTAATAATTTTATTAGTTTTTTCATAGAACTACAAAATAATTTATAAATTTTCTGGATTTTTAAAAAATGTATAATTCAAAAGCTAATGACTGTAGATATTTAAAATTTTCATCAAATGTTTATGTATTAGCATTTTCTATACATGTTGGAGTTTGAAATTTTTTCGCTCATTCAAAAAAATCAAAAATTAATTAAATAATTAAGCCCACAATTAATTTTTTTAAAGCGTTTGAAGTTAGGATATTAACAAATTATGTCAAATTTTTGAAAATTTGCAAATTATTTTATTGCTAAAAATTCGTTTCTAAAATTTGAAAATTAAATATAAGATTTACAAATCATAATTAGTTTATATTGTACCATTTGTAATTTGTATGTAGTGTTGTTAAATGGTGCAAATAAGTTCATGGTTTAAATAATTTAAGCATACTTAACCTAAATATTTTAAAACTCATTGAGTTTAATATATTTTAATTATTACGATTATATATTAAACTATTACAATACAATATAATTAATAATATTCATATAGGTAGCAATAAATATCTTGAAATCAAGTACAAATGATATTTTTTTTAATTATGATGCAATAACTAAAATTGTTGATTATTATTTTAATATCTAATTTTGTTGAAATTTAACCTTAAATGTTTATAAAATGTATGTGATGTTTATTTATATTTTCAAGATTCTTAAGTTACCATAAAAACTTATGAGGAATTTTGTATCAAGTTTTTATACCTTAGTTATTAGCCTTAAAAATTGCACTATGTTTTATTAAAAAAATAATTTCTATAGCTTTGTTATTTTTACTTTAAGCAATTATTATAAAAAGAAACTATATGTATTTTAAATATATCTTGTGGGATTTAATATAGAATTTTTAAGTTTATTGACTGAGTCTAAGTATTTGTATCAACATTTAAAAATAAAGTTAAACATTTTAATACCTACATGAATCACTAAAAATTATAGTCTAAATATTTTGAAAATTTGATTATGGATAGAAAATTACGATTTAAGTTAAAGTTTAATGTTAAAATTAAATATAAAATAGCAAAAATCGTTTAAAGATAAATCGATTACTTGTGAATATTCAATGTCGTAAAAACATGAACTTCAATCTCTCATGAATAATTGTATGACTTTACGTTGTTAAAAAAAAAAACTTAATAATTTTCAACGAGTAATCTATAAAATTCGATCTAGTATAATATAATTATTTAGTTCTTATATTGTATACTTAATAAACAAAATAATTAAAAACAAAGAAGATTTAATTCTAGTATATAAACTAAATTGGCAACTCAATATGTTCATGTTTCTAGAGACGTTTTCGTGTTTGCTGAAAAGTAATTTACAAAATTTTACATCAAAAAGTTTCATTTTAGTGCCTATATCATTATCACAATATTATTTTAGTGAATGTTTTGACTTAATAAGTTATTATTATATTCAATGTTATTATTTATAACGATTGAACCTATGGTTGTAATTGTGAGAATAGTGTTTTCAGTATCGTTATAGTTCGTTGTAATTATTATGAGCACAAGTTAAAAAAAAAAAATCACATAACGTGATTTATGACAAAATGAAAAAATAATTAACTAATATATAGAGTAATATATATTAAGATCTATTATTTTCAAAATTTTCAAACTATTTAAACTCTTACCTACTAAATTGTTGTATATTGTATATAACGTACTCTACAAGTCAATATTCCAATACGGTTATTAGTATGGGGTAGAATTCTAATAATGCTATAAAACCACTTGAAATTCAAAAAAACCATGCAGTAAGAATATGTCTAGGAATAAAAGAGTTTTATGGTTTGACTTCCATAAATTATAAAAAACTTTAAGTTCAACCGGTCAGGTATTTATATAAGCAGTTCTCCATTATATTTATAGCAGATAAAATTACTACTAAATAAGTTAATAAACTGGAAAACGGAGAATATTATATGCATATTAGTTATATTAATATTAAATATTGTAATTTAACATAATATATAGATTTTATTGTATTTTAACAACTCATTTACCTCTAAACAAGCTAAACAATATAAATTTCATTAGATTTATATAAGTGTATTAATAATATTATTATATAACTATTATTATATTGGATTATAAATTAAGAGTTTATGGACTTTAAGTTCATATAGCAGGGAACCTCTTTGATATTTTAATGAAGAGCCACTGTTCTATAAATCGATAAATAATTTTACACTCATGTATTATATCATGTAATGTATAAAAAATAAAAATATTTGTTTTTAAATTTTAAGCATGATTATTCACTAATCATGTTATTTATTTTTTTTTTTTTGACGAGGGATTAAACGTAAATCGTAGTTTCTTTTGTAAATCACTCTCATAAAAGTTCCGGGCGTTAAGTAAATAATAATTAAATTATTTTTGTATTTCAACAATTAATATAATACTAATACAATATTGAGTGTCATTATTTGTAAATTGTACACGTCCATCTACAGCTTACTATGTCTTATATAATTTTATTGTCTTATAGCTTCTTTATATATATACTAACGCCGGGTGTCACGAAAAATTGATTAATTTAATTGTCACCAAGTTTTAATTTATCAATCACGACAGGTCACAAAATCATGTTTAAGGCACCGTTAATAGCAGCACACTATATTCATTAAAATATTATGTTAAGTGATATTGTTCATGCAACCCGGCGTTAACGTAATAATAGAAATCAATAGTTCAACTTTTTAAATATTTGCATATCATTATGCCGGGCATGCATCGCTGCTGCAGTATCAGTAAATGTTATATTTATTTCGGTATAAAGTAAGTATATATACATTTAGCCATTAGGTAAAAGTATAAAACGAACGTTTTTACTTTAAGTATTTATGCGTAAAAAAACAATAAAATTAAAATTATAATAAATATGAATACATTGATATACTACTAATAATAATTTTTAAAAATAAAACTTAAAATATTATCGGCGAGGACCACTTATAACAACGACGACGCGTCCTAGTATATATTATATGTATATATATATATATAGGTATCTGCATTATATATGATGAGCTTAGGCTCATCTTATAGTTTTCATTTAGTTATTTATTATTATTTATTTGTCGTTTTTTTTCTTTCATGACATTTTTTCTGAAACGAATACCAGAGAAATGGGTTATTTGTGTATTTGAGCTCGTACACATACATATTATCGGGTTTCGAATGCGTGTGTATGTATAATTAATTCTGTTTTTATTTTTATTTTTTTATTATTCATTTCGAGTGTTGAACTTTCTCGTGCCCGGCGTTACACAATCGCGGCGAATTGTGAAAATCTTTGCGTGAATGAGTATTTTTATTTCATGATGTGATATCGCGCATGTATACATTCATATACATACACACACACATACCTTCCGGCATCGTCGTCATCTTCTTCTTCTATCGTCGGACTTTCGGCGACGCGAGAAATAATTAATTTCACAATAATGTTTATAATAATAATATTAATATATTACACATTAATGTTAGGTATTATTATCTATTTTGTACGAAAAGGTTTCTAAACCGCGCGAGGTCCCCGCCCGGAACAATCGATCGAACGGTACGGGACGTCCCGTTCTGTTGCAGCGAAATCAATAGGAAACCCGCCGTAATAACCGATGGCACATCCGATCATTATGCACGCGCGACGAGATATTTTATTGTCGTCTACGACCATTGTCTCACCCGCGTGAAAACGCACCGGGCCACGCGGATGTGATCACCGACCCAAAGCGTCCGAGTCTTTAGCGCCGTTGACTTAAAATAGTCGTGTCGCATACGACCCACCGTTATTCTTCGGCTGTACGGATTTCGCGTGACTGCGTAAAAGCTGGACGCGTATTAGCGTATCTATATGGTACAATAAATAATATCTCATCGCGATCACCGCAATACTGCTACACGTAGAGACGACCGCAATAATATCAGTCAAATATCGTCTACATAACGACTGCAGTAAAAATATTAATTATCATTATAATAATTATTATCGTTATTATTATTATAGTTATTGTTATTACGAACGTACGCGGTCTCAGTCTCGAAAAACCTTCCGTCGTCACACGAAAAACAATAACGCGATTGTAGCATACATGGTTAAGATGAACGATAAGTACATCGTATTCGGTTGGTTTGTTGTCATTTGGACGGTGGAATCCTTCATCTCACCGAATATTTTCGTTCACTCCGGTAAGTACATATAATATAAAATACTTCGCGCAAGCTCGTGTCATAGGTATATTTGGTATACCGCACACAGTATCAAAGATAATATTCGGTACATTTACCTGTATATATGTGTATGTCATCATCTGTACGTTATAATATTTACGTCGTTGCGCGCGCACCAAATCATCTAGACAATAATATTTAAACAATAAACTTTATGTTAAACGCGCACGAGACAATCATTAGCATATTATCAATTATATTTGTATAATTGTGTGCACGTAGAATAACGCTGTTCTTATAAATTATAACTTATATAGATATAATATGTATTATTGTGTTGCGTGTTCGTTTGTATAAGTACATTGGGGTCTAATGAATAGAAATCTCGCTCATATTAGATTTTCGGAAATATTATTATTTTTTTTTTTCATATTATTTGTAGCTGCTACACAACAAAATGCCATAAGATTCTTTATCATTAAATTTTTTGTATTTTGAATGACACCATAATGTAAACATTTTAAATTTCATGTTCGGAAGCGAGATATTTTTCTGAGAATTTCGAACTAGGCTATTGTAGGAATGTATACAATAGTATACTTCTAAATAATATAGGTTTCAAGCGCAAATTGGTAAATTTTAATTTAATGATAAAACATTTGTTTATGAAAAAAAACATTATTTTCAAGGATAGTTTATGTAGTATAAATACTCTTAGCATTTAATCAAATATTTTTATCTAAAGAGAGTAGGTAGTTAGTAGTGAAAAAATGTTAAAAATATTGATAAGTGAAGAAGTGAACCTATATATTTTGTGTACTCATATAATACTACTCTATCTCGCTAATCTAAACTTTAAATCCTTAAAGCTAATTGAAGATCATTTAATCAAAATTCGATTTTTGTACATTAAAATTATTAAAGTAATCTTTTGCCTGTTGAAAAAAGAATAAAACTTAAAATTTACCGCAATGGTAATAAGATAATAATTTATTTAATTATAAAAATAATAAACACATATTACAAAATGTAATAAATTAATAGTGTAATTAGTTCTTATTTTCAAATTCATAGAACTCGTCATATTTTATACCTACGTAATATTATATTGGTGTAACCTAATTTCTTTCCATTTTAATTTTTATGTAGTTTTATGCTCAATTTTACAAGATTTTATGTTATAATTAAATCTTAGAATGTAAGATATATGAAAATAAAGTAAATTAAGTATTATATTGTTATTGAAAAAGTAGATATTTTAGACTTAAGTATATTATATAAAAATTAAAAAGTATCTATGATATAGTATTATTGTAATAGTAAAACCTATTTGGCGACTTATGCACATAATATTATAACGTAAAAAACATCATCATCGTTACTTGTTCTTATCTCTTTTATATTCGTTAATTTATTGGGAACCATTAATAAATTAAAATAAATTTTAGTCATATTATTTATATTGTTATACCTGTTATAGTGATTTTATAATTAAGAAAAAGAAAAAAAAATTCACGAACAATCAATATTACACAATCCAATACATTTTATATATAGATATATATATTAATAATATTTAATATATTATTATATGCCTATTAAGTTAACTAGGTAATAACTAATGACTAATGAAGGTCGAATTTAAAATTTTGTCAAAATCATGTAAATTTGCAAATTATTTTGAACTTAAAAATGTATTATATTTTTTATTTATATACTATTGATTAAAATGCATTATAATTTTTCTAATATTCATTACAAAGATTAGAAAAAAATAGCGTAAAGTTACGGTAGTGATTACTGGACACTGGTTTTTATAATGGTTTGAATTTAAAATTTTAACACAATTTGTCTAAACAGTTAATTATTTTGTATACATATATGGGTTGATGAATATTTTCGTTCAGAATCTTTTCCATTGTGTACTATGATTTAATACTGAATTCAAATTTAAGGCATTAATTACAGCGATCTACTCAATGATGAGGTGCACTGGATGGCTGTATGTAAACTGCGGCAAAAAAAAAAATTAAGATTATATAATCTGCCACAAAACCGATAACATACATCATACAAACTGCGACAATTTAATTAGATACCTATTGTATTATTATTTTTTTATTTATTTATTTATTTTTTTTTATTATACGATTTTTTTAAATAATTTTTAATATAATAATAATATTTTTTAATTTTAAAATTGGTTTTTTGATTATACAATCATTACGATCTAATTTTTAATAATAATATATTTTTCAATTTTAAAAATTGGTTTTTCTTTTTTTTTACACTTAATATTCTAAGAGATACTAATAGCTGTCATAATACGTAATACGTATTATACCTAATTAAACAATAAACATGTATAAGTATATAAAATAAATTGCCGCAGTTTGTATGATGTGTCTTATCGGTTTTGTCGCAGATTGTATAGTCTTAATTATTTTTTTGCCGCAGTTTACATATCGACTTTTAGAAAAAGGTAAATTTTGCCGCAGTTTACCATCTCCCCGCTGGATATCTATAAATCAGTTGTTAAAAATTCTTATTGTCCTCTCACTATTTTTTATCATTGCAATTTTTTAGGAATTTTTTGTTTTTAAACAACAATTTATATTTTCAACAAAACATTCTGATTTTCTATAATAATATAGATTTTATTAACTCAATAATTTTTTTCTTCGTAATCATTTAAATTTTGCTAACTTTAAAAATTAGATGAACAACGTTATATTAATATGTATAGTAAAAATTGTCTGAATTGAACATTATTCACAACCTCATAGATATTGTCACTATAGATTTTTTTACATTTGTCAATAAAAATGTTATGTTAATTCATTATAGTTAATAATAATTATATTGCTTCAGTATGATATTAAAAACAATGGTTGCCAATAGATTTATTCTAGTTAAAGATTTCCAAAACCCGAATAAAATATACTATACAATAAATTTAAGCAAAAAAAAAAAAATAATGTTACAAATATTATTAAAATAATATTTACTTCCATATGGAAGTGTAAAATAGTTTTTTTTTTGAAAAAATTTGAATATGTACCAATTTAATAAGTGTCCAGTGTTAAAAAAAAAAATAAAAAAATAATCATATTATTGTTTTAACGTTCACATATAGTGGCCGCGCAAAATAAATACATACATGACCCAAATAACAGTAGTCGCCTCTTGTTGACTGTCTAATTATTAATGCAAATAACTATAATAAAATAATATATTGAAACAATGTAAATAACTTGATTTTAAAACCTTTAAATATTTAAACTATTTAACTTCAAGTGTTTAAAATATGTTTGTATTATTGTGTGATTAAAATATCTTTCATATTTATTATAATTGATATATTATGAAACCGTATCCTTTATAAAATTTCACTAATTTAGTCGATATTTATTTATGACTTAATCGAATAATTTAAATTATATTAAATTTTTATTAACAGGCATAAATAATTTTTATAAAAATAATAGTTTTTAGAAATTTTTGAATTTACAGTAAATCTAGGTCAGAGTAAGCTTTACACTTTTCCCATTTAATTAATAATACTTATTATTACAGGTATCAATATAAGTTATTTTGATTTTAAACCAATAAAACAGCAATATTCTATTTAATTTAATATTTATTTAAATTCTTATAAATGTTTCCATTTTGATTTTTTGGTGTCAATAGAACCATACTTTGTATACCTTAAACTTATCGAATCATTAACACTTTCTATACTCTGAAAAAATTGAACCAATTAACTTTTTAACTATTGAGTTAATCATCCATAATTAATTATCAATTATTACATATATTTCACTTTGGTGTTATTTATAATATGGTTATATTACGTGATGTATGTTTAGTTATTTATAATGAATTTAAAAAAATTAGAAGGCAAACTAAATTAGCATGTCACTTATATATTTTGTATTAATACAAGTAGATAAAAAGCTTAAAATAAAATAAAAATTTTATTCAATTATTTCAGTATTTATTTTAATAATAAATAATATTATTTACTATAATGTATTGGTTAAAATTTTCTATGTGTTGAATTAACTTTTATATTAATTAAAAAAAAAAAAATTTTAAATTATAGTTCCTAGTATATATTATGTGTTATCTATTTCTTAATTATCTATTATCTAATATTATATTTAAAAAAAAATTATAAATTTAAATTTAAAATATGATATACTTTCACTTAATTTGAAAATTCATTTAATGGCAAGTTTCACATATGTTGACAAAAAATTGTTGATATTAGTTGGGGCGAGATTTAAAAAAAAAGATTTTAATAGCTATATTATCATTAATGCTAAGAATAACTTATTTTTATTATATAATTGACATACATTTTCTCAGATAAATGTCTATATGTTCGTTGACGTATAAATCAATCAAATTAAATATTACTTTACATTTGAGAGAGCATCAAAGTTTTCAAACTTTTGTTATTTAATAAAGCATTACCATTATTACAGTATAGTGTATTACTATATATAATTATATATTTAAATTAAATATTTGTGTGTATATTATTGAAAGAAGTCTATTTAATTAAAAAATAACCACTAAGACTTTTAGATTTGATAGTAACTTTTCTCTATTTTCAAATAATGCCATAGTCCACCATTATATTGATTTTATTTGTATTCTTGATTTAAGTATAAACTATATAAATTGCAACTTCATCTTCGCTGACTGCATTTTGGTACAAATAAATTAAAATTTTCTTTCAAAGCTCGTGCTGAAGAGTGTATTATGTACATTTTGTAACCTGTAACTTGAAATAGGTTTTATAACGCATAATATTTTAGTAGTTGTTCGTTGATAAATATTTATGAACCCTATAAATCAATAAAATTTATGAATTATGAACAAATACGAAAAAAATAATGTAAAGTTTTGTTTGTAGATTTTTTTTTTGCGTATGGCGCTTATGTCCGGGAGTAGGCCTAAAAGCTTAGTTCGGACGCCTATTTGGCAGAATTTTTAGTTGGGCACCCGTAGATTTCTGCCATGCCCGTTTGGGGGATGACGGCTTGCCATAGATATTGTTATCTATTATTATTGTTATATTATTTATTATTTGATATCTATTGTTTATAGATATAAACATACGAGTGAATTTTAACGAATCATGAATCGCAAACCCCTAATACGCGCATAACTATTGAGTATTTTTTGTGTCGAACTTCGAGTATATAATTTGCACTAACATGGTTTGTTTTCATTTACATTGATAAATAATATTATAATTTATAATTATTATTTACCATAAAATTCATTGTTACTCAAAATAATTTACAATACCAAATATAATGTATTTAGCTCTCACATCAACCAGCAACTCAAAATTAAAGAGGAAAACAATTTTCAAGTAATTCAAAAACTAAGTAAGTCGTTCAAAGGAAATTTTTTTGACATGAAAAATTTGAGTTGCTGAGAATCAATGACTATTGTATATCTTAACCGTTTATAAGCTGCAGTGGTATTATAAATAATATAATGTGTAAATCAAACTTGATGGCTAATGTTGCCATAATAATGATAAAACGATACCAAAAATATGGTGAAACGGGAATTATTCAAAAACGAAACGCGACTATTATTACGAATTACCGTCTGGCACGGGTTTCTAAAGTTAGATTTCCGAGGCACAGATGACACGTTTCGGGTAATCGGGTCCATATTTTGGTGATCAAAAATTAATAATATTTATGCGATAGTTCAGAAACAATACTCAAAAAGTTTTAATCCCCCCATAATTGGCAATCATTTTATAGATCCTCTATCTGGGGATTTATTTGCCATTTATGAGCCCTAAATAAATTTACTGTTACCAGGGCCTGAGATTGTCGGTTCGCTTTGTTTTCTACATATATCACGGTAATTAAAAAATAACATTGTCGCTTCGAGTATACGTTTTTTATAAATCATGAAAGATTAACACATCATGACATACTCGGATTCTATTGTGTTTTATTTCGTATTCACATCCGATATCAGACCTACAATATTTTATTGTGTGGAGCAACGATTGCAGTTGTTATAGTCGTCAGCCATGTCTGCACTTTTGCAGAGATTTTATTTTGACGAAATTTTTTTTCTCGGGAAATCAAACGAAGCAATTAAAAAAAAACCAAGAAATATCGTCGCCGTTTACCAAGCCCTGCATTATTATCGTATAATATTATCACCGTCGTCACAATCGCAATAAAAAATAAATACATTTTTTCCACACGTACAGATACACACACGCACAAACACTGGCGCGCGCACGCTCGCCGCCACACAATATCGTCTTTCACACTGGCGTGCGTTTCCATTCGGTTATTTTCGAATGTGTTCTAAAATAATATTTGTAATCTGCGAGTGAGCGTGTAAGCGTGTGTGTGCGTGCTATAATATGTACACACGAAACGGGGTATAAATACCCGAGTCTGTGTGTATGTGTGTGTTGTGTGTGTGTGTGTGTGTGTGTGTGTGTGTGTGTGTGTGTGTGTGTACGGATGTTGACAAATTAATAAGTAAGCGTTATTCGGACGATATCCGAAAACAATAATAATATTTGATATTGCATAAATTATTACAATTTATGTTATGTAATACAATATCAATATAGTCACTTGTATAATATTATACAAATTAACAATCATAATATTATAATATCAATTATTATTTCACTGCATTAGAGAGCGGTACGCGCGCAACGTGTACGATGGACGTTATGATATTAATATTATAGTGTGTAAATTGTTTTTTTTTTTCAGCCGACGGACCGGGCGAATACCCGTACACAGATCTATGTTTTCGGGACGACCCAAAAATAGACGTTTGCATCCGCAAAAGAATTAACGACGTGGTCGAAGAATTTCATAAAGGTATAAGAAGATGCAGCAGCACAATATCTTGTGCTTATACGAAATCACATTATTAAAAATTATATTATTTTACGTAAAAATTATTGAAACCACACCCAACCTTTGATGATTTTTTTTTTTCACTCTTATTTGTCTATTACGTTTATAATATGGGTCAAGATGTTTTACGTTCTGATGTAGACACGCCGACGACGCGGCTTCTTTAATAAATTTCGATTTTATTGATCTCGTATAACATAATCTCCAGAGGTATAATATAAATAAATACCTGACGGCTAACAATAATATTATAACAATATTACATTTTATAAAACAGAGATTTCTATAAGATATTAACAAATGTTATTCCAATAAGATGGAAACGTTTCGCTTTATCACACTGCAGTTTAGCTGTGTATGTAAATAAATAAATAATTAAGTACATCAATAATCGAATTTTAATACAAACCGCGTTTGGTTCTGTTTCTCTTGATCTGAATAACTATTCATCCAATCAAATCGTGACATTTTACAATACCAATAACATACAGACGTATACAAAAAAATTAGACCAAACGATTTTTGGCGCAATGTACAGTTGATATAATAGCCCGTACACTGATACTCGCGTACGTCTTTTTATAGATTGCCATATATTTTTTTTTTAACGGCATATGAAAAACAAAAATAAACAAACATTTAATGAGTGGTTACTAAATTAAATTGTCATCTTTTAAAATCTGTACCGTTGTAAATAATATTAATCGGTGGTTTTAACTAATGAACTGATTTTTCCATTTAGAAAATTGCTCAACTAAGTTAATTCTTATATAATATTTTCAATATATATCATACACACTGACACAATCATCAATATATTATATTATACATGTATAAATTGAGTTCTGTGTAATAGAAAAATAAATAGTGTGTCTATCTTATAGATAACGTAACTATATTTTTTCCCCGAAAGCGGGATGCCTGTAAAATAATATAGGTATATAAAACACAGATTTTTCGTAATTTTTTAAATAATTTTTTGCGTAAAATCACAATAATACAATTTTAGTAAAATTCAGTAGAAAACAATAAAACGAATTATCCAAAATAAGTAAATTAATTTATTATGTTTAATACTTTTTTATCAAAAACTAAAAAATTAAAATAGAATTCATCTCGAGCAGTTTAATGGGCTTGTTTTCTATAGTTTTTCAATTAGCAAATTTCCATTAAAATATCAGGCAATATGATAGACATAAAATGTACTGTACATAATATGAAAGTTTGGGCGTCAGAGATCTTAAGTACGGAAGTGTGTAAATATTTTCATCCACCAAAGCAGCTTTATTCTCGGCGATTGTGTACATAATATTATATATAAAATGTATACATGAGGTTAGGTTAGATTAACCTAACCGCCTTAATGTCTTTAATTATTATTACATAATGTTTACTAATCAGAATTTACAGTATGCGTAAGTATATACGAATATATAATATTTTAATGATGAGCAATGATATAATTTCGATTATCGATATCGTTCAAAATTTACCGATATCGAAATACATACCTTTTTCGTTTTCATTTAACTAAATTTACATCACACTAAGGAATTAAACTAATTTACTATATTGTGTTATATTTTAATACCTAGATATTATTGATATACCAACATCTTAAATATTTTTATTACAATATAATTTAATTTATTATAGCTTAGAACCTACAAATAAAATGTAATTCTTGAAAAATAACATAATGGTATAATTTTTTTTTGATATCGCAATATATTGGGAAATTATTAATCAATATCGATATCGTTGCTCATCACTAATGATATTATAATAAAATAAGTATTAATCCACATTTTTTAGATTACACTTTCTAGGTAGAACTAGGGTTACTATACCTACGATGCAAACACCGTTTTTATTACATAATTTTCATAGTTTATCTTTAAAATTAATAATTTAGTTTTGCGTAATTTTTTGGAAGCGCTTAGCTAGACGGTACCTATAGAGAGTATGATTAAATGCTGCAGATGATTTCAACTGTCTTAAATTAAATCTATATACAGACCTTTACCTAGCACTTTAGCTTCGAATACATGTGTAGTATAGAACGACGCACAAAATTAATTTTAAAACACTTTCTTATTTATTTTATTTAAGTACCTATGCATAATATGTTTACTGGGAAAAATAAATTTTTTTTTTTAAATGTACTATTCTTATTTTCTGGTAAAACAATAAAGTATTTAATGGTATTTAAAGCTTTGTGTAGATATCGTGCATTTACACTTGAACAAATTCTCTAAAAATTGTTTTTATGTAAGTTCTTTGTATAAAAAATTAAAAATAATTACTATGATAATAAAATATAGTTATTTTCGAATGCATTAAGAAAAATAAATATTAAAATTTTCTAATTTATCATTATTATGTCCATTTAGAATAAATTTTAAAATATAAACAGATCCACTCTAAGTATCAAAATATATATTTTTAGAGGATCGGCATATGATCAGTTTTTTTTTGCTCAGTAATAGCCTTACAGGAAAAACTCTCACGCATCGTAGAGTGATCTGATTTCGATTTTTTTTTTTAGGAGAAAAACTTTTTAAACGTGTATTGAAAATTGATTTTCAAAATTCTATTTCTACACCATATAATAAGATTTTAAATAAAACCGATTTTCATTAGTTTTTATCTTATTTTTTTATTGTTTTTGTTTTAATAACGTAATAAAAAAATGTAGTATCGTAATAACCATATTTGCTTTCAAATTGAATACAACTTTTTTTTTGTTCGTGATATAAATCTGTCTACAAGTCGTTAAGAATTTCCAATTTAGAAACCATTAAAAAAAAAAAAGTTAACACACAAGATTTATATTTACATTTTTCAATACGTAAACGTATAAACAAGATAAAATGAAAAAAAAAATGCTTTTTGTACAATATTTTACAAATAAATATGTAAATTTTCAAGTTTTAACATATATATTGTTTAAATAAAATTAAATAATAAATACGAATCATTTTTATTGAACATATCTATGTGATTGTAGGTAGTGACGAATTTGGCTTACGTGAATTTGATCCATTGCCCTTAGACAATCCGTTAAATTTTGAACATAATGCTCGATTGATTGGTGGAAAAATTTCAGTAAAGAACATGATGACTGAAGGTTTAACAACAGTTAAATTGTTATCGCTCAGGTAAGATATTTATAGATGTATTATGTAAGGTGAAATGTATATGTTTTCAATTAGTTATTTTCTACCAGTCTTGTAAAATTGTAAAAATACTTTTGATTTATATTAGTTATATTTTTAATGTTTAAATAAATCGTTAAAAAAATCTGTACAATATACTCGTACGTATTCAAAATTTCAATATTTATTAAACACAAGGTAATTTATAAATAATAATTGAATACTTGAAAATTATTTAACAAATATATATTTTACTTCTAATTTATGTCAGTTTTTACTTTTTTAATGGTTAGTAATCAATGTTTCTAAATTAAAATTATAATAAATAAACAAATAATTATTTACAATAAAAAAAAATAAAAAAAATACTTGTAATAACAATATATATATTATGTACAAATTAATTGATAAGAAACATTTATTTAAAGCTATTTTCTATTTCGAAAAAAGCATTTTTTTTTTTTTTTTAATGAATAAAAAGAGTATTTTGAATTTATTTTTTTGAATAATTTATACGATTCTATAAGTATTTTAGCCTGATTTTAGCTGGACTTCGGTAGAGTAGGTCATAGCAGGTATATAAGTAGTATCACCACCATATGCACTAATTGTGATCAAAGTATTTCTCAACTGTAAAAACAGCTTCCACACAACCAACTTAAATCAGTTATTAAATTTAATATAGTAGCTGTATAATATGATATAGGTAAAAAGCGTATTAGTTCTTTTTTATATTTTAAGCAATTAAAATTACTAATAAAATTAACAGATGCATAAAATATTAAAAAATTTTCATTAAATCAAAAAAGTTTCATATTAAAATTTAAAATCCATAAACATAATAATATCATCTACGAACCATCATTAAGATTCATTAAAATATAGGTATAGTATACAAAATATAATGTATTACGTTAGCCTTTTTGGCATGTAGTGAAAAATAAATAAATAATAATTATATAATAAAACTATCTTACCAAACATAATCATGGTACATTTTACACTGCAAAATTACTTATATATACATGATAAAATATAATTAACACTATAATTAAATTAAAATAAAATAATAATAATATTAACAATACACTCAATACATAATATTAAAGTAAACACTAAACTCTATCCTGAAAATTTGACGAATTTGTAAATGTATCGTCTTCAAAGATGGAAATCAGCTGATCTTTATTACCTATTTAAAGTTTTTATAACTAAATTGTTCTGCTATTAAGATTATCAATCAAAATGACCATGACAACAAATTCATGTATACATAAGTTAGGTTTATGAATTTTAATTTATATTATTTCAGAGCACGTATTTATTGAAGTTTACTTACATGTATATGTACAAGTATATAACATACATGGGCGTAATAATATAATTAAGTATATTATTTAAGGTGATTTTTTCATTTAATAACCAATTTATTCAAATTCTGATTTTTTTGAATATTTTAATATCCTCAACAACTTAACTTCAATATTTTTAGAAAAACTATACGCGAAATAATATAAATCGAGAGAGGGAATTTTCATTTCAAAGAAAGATGAGAAGTTGTAGTAAATCCGTTACAAAAGAACACTCCTTAAATTTTACAAAACAATCTTAAAAATTTGGCAATATCGTCATAAAATAAATTTCAAAATTTCAAAAATAATATTTTGAATAACTATACTATTAAATAAGAAAAATGAAATGAGTGTGTTTAGTGAAGCGCCCTGTAGGTAAAAGCTGTATATATGGACGTAATAATATAAGTAGGTAGATGTGTATGTACTATATATAGCTATTGCAGAATTCTTATTATGTTTGACCGAATTCAATTGGTAGACTTTCTTTATGTATCTAAACGTGCGTATATCACGCAATACGTCTGAATATATTATGTATAATGTTTGTTTGAATAATATGTCATGGTGTTATATAGATCAAAACTTCAAAACCCAAATAAAATGGAAGTGGGATTCACTGCAAACTTCAAAAACTTATTAAGCTCCGGTCAATATCAGTTCAAAGGATATTTGGGACGTATGCCGATAAACACCAACGGCCGATACAACATAACATTCAGTAAAGTTAAATTGATTTATTATTATGTATAAAAGTATTACACCATCATAAACATTATATACTATTTTGAATAGGTACATATAAGTTACCTGTAATATATATGCATGGTATATACACAACCTTCGGAGCGTGCACGTCTGAAAAGCTTATGAATGTTTAACACACTATATAATATATATATGTATAGATATAGAGAAGATACAAATAGTGTAAAATGCTTTCAAAACTATCCTGCGCATACTTTTAATCTTTATAATATAATATTATAATTATTTGCGTATTTATACATACGTTTTATATTATTATCTACGTCGCACTTATAGCGCATACAATGTTATTATGAATAAACAATAACGCCCTATCTGTGTTGCAGAGAACGTTGAGACAAGTTACGTGTTGAAGGCTAAGCTGAAAGAAATGAAAAACAGCACGTTCGTACAGCTCGAAAGTTTTCGCTCGAATCCGCCGAAATTCGGCGAAACTAAAATCTTCGCCAGTGATCTGGTGCCGGGAAACGCGGTGTTGAGTGAGTTAATTATTATTTTAATTATAATCACGATAATCATGAACGGATGCTCGGTATAGATAGAATATAGTAATCGTATTATGGTATACGATAAAATATAATATAAGCAGCGAAGTTTGGTTTGACAGTAGGTATAGGTATATGTAATATGCGATTGTCTGCTGCTGACACAACTTTGTCGTTGTTATTTTCCGTCTATGATATTTAATATATTGGTTGTTCTGTGTTAGTGACGTAAATATTGATTTCGTTTATTTTCCGGAAATCCAGCAGGAGCCAAATTGCTAGAATATAATATTATCGTATGATATCAACAAATGGCTAGTGATATTTAATATTATATTTTAGAACATACACACACACATATATATATATATTTATATTATATATTTATATACGCTATACGAAATGAATATAAAAGTAAACTACTTCCAACTGACCTAAGTGTATTGACTTCAGTGTCTATTTGTGTGAGTGGCGTACCTACTTAAATATACTGTTATTATAATATAATTTCGTTAGTTTTGTATCGAATGATTTATGCGCGAATGGCAATATCCAAAAATAAACTGTAGTGTGTGTGTATCTCACATGATATTTATGCCTTTAGAGTATAGAATAATACGTTTTAATATTATTTAATAAATAGCTCGGAACCAATTTATTGATTTTATTAAAATTTAAAAATCAACAGTATAAATAAAAAAATAAATGTGTCTAATAAAGGTCGAAAAATTTACCAGGGAAAATATTCACATAAATTTACATAATTCAGGCAAACGATTCTTCGTAATAACCATAATTTATATGCTGTCACGTAGTTGTTGATAACAGCTATATAATGCAACATAATCAAATTTGAGTAGTATAAGTGATAGGTCAATTAAAATTACTTGGATCAATACAAGTAAAACATTTCTGTCGAAAAACGCTTCACGTTACATTTCCTACTTATATCATAGTTTATAATCACATTGTATATGTAAAAAATATCATTTAAGAAAATATTTCTATTTTAAAATCTGGTTTTATGAAATTCAATCTCAATAGTCAATTATTCATCAATTTTTGAATTATATGTAAATGTATAATACAATTTATTAAAAAAAAAAACAATAAAGTAAAAATAAATGTTGAACATTTATATTAATTATAATACTGGAAACGGGCGTGATGTCATCGCAAATTTTACAATTTTTTTTTCGTATTTTCATATATAGCTTTTTGCAATTTTTAAAAAATATTGGCTTTTTAAAGTTAAAAATCTTCTTTGAGCGCCATCAAACAGAGAAGAGGATACATGTGTAGGATCTACAATGACGTTTTTTTTCAAAAATAAAATAATAATTTTATACTTATCTATATTTAGTAAATATTTTTAGTTTATATTTTAAATTATAAACTGGTATATTATGTTATTCTTAAATTATGTTTTTAATGATAAAAATAAATTATACTTATTATATTAAAAACTAGTTTATAAAAAACTGGAAAATATTAGTCTCTTGACCTATAAAATATTATATTAGGGCCGTCAAGCGGTGAAGTGGTGAGGGAAGTTATATGCCCTAGACCAGCGGTTCTCAAACTTTTTATTTCGCGTACAACTTAAGTATATTATCAATCAGTCGCGTACCACTGAAGATTAAAAATCCTACCACCATGCGGCCTTCCGCAGTTCGGCGTACCATCATGTAGTCTTTCGCGTACCACTAGTGGTACGCGTACCACAGTTTGAGAACCGCTGCCCTAGACTGTATTTTCAATATTCATAGTAGGGTTTTTTTTTCATAGTATTTCTGGTTCTGGTTGTTTTGAAAATTATTGGGAATTTTTTTTTTTACTTCAAAGTACAAATTAGATCCAATTTTTATCAAAATTACTCTCAAAGATGAAAATCAAAACATATTTTTTATTTCAAAGAAAATCATCAGAGAAACAAAAGTAAAAATACACATCAATAAAATTAATACATTAATCGTTTCACTCAAAAACTAAAAAATGAAAAATAGCTAGTTAAAAAAAAAAAAATATAACAGTAGCATTTTTTTTTTCTTGCTAGATGACTTAAATTTGATTTCCTTTTCATTCTGGGTCAAAAACCAACAACTTATAAAGTTTCAATAGTGTAGTAATTAGTAACACAAGTCAAAAAAAATCTTATGTGCGTATTCACTGATTGTTTAAAAATTAATAACTCAATTTTTTATTAACTTATAGAATCAGAAGTAGGCTTAAAACTTGCTTCGCGATGTACTATTTCATTAAAAAAAAAATTAAGATTATCGGATGAGTTATTTCAGAGAACATGCATGAAAAAGATTTCTATATTTTCATTTATGTATATATAAATAATAATAAAGTATATATACTTAAGTAAATAAGTATATATGTACTTAATATAGTAATATACAATACATATATACGTATATATGCCATAAATGTAATCGTATTTTTCAAGAAATATTATGTATTTCATAAACTATGATCATATTAAGTCAAACATTGATATACATGAAATGGAAATCATTATTTTATACTTTGTGTAATATTTTAAACTATTTATAGTACATAGATAATATTTCGAAAAATCGAATTACAACAAATACAGGAATCTAATATTTTATATTGTAGGTAATAAAACGCTCTAAGTAGATACTTTTTTTCCTAAAATAGGTACCTATTATAATTACATTGTATACACTAAAGCCTCTATAAGTACCGAATCTCTTAAATTGCCGAAATGTTGTCTGCTGTTTAGAAAGGGGAAGGTAGACGAAAAAATGAATTATATTAAAATATATTGTATGTAATATATATTAGTATTTAAATCAAAATTAGTTAATAATAAAACAGATAAAATAAACTAAAATATAGTATAATAATATGCAAAATTCACGTTGTGATAAAGTATACTTCGATAATGATTTCGATCAAAATTTCAGAATCTATTCATTAAAATTTTCGTTATTTAGAGTATCTCGTATTTAGAAGTTTTCCTAAAAAATAAAAAGTGAAAATATTCCCATTCCCGAAAAAATGTCCGTTATTTTAAGGTATCTGTTGAGAGAGGTTTCACTGTATAATATCGTACACTTATTATCGATCACAATTGATATAATTCGTAATAATGAAAAAAAAAAGTAAAAATGACACAAATCATTGTAAAATCTTAGAATTCAAAATGTCGAAAATATGATCACAGTGTAGAATAATAAAATTATTCGTATAAAATATTATGATCGTGATTCATTCTAGTTCGTTTGAACCTGTATTTACTCTGAGATAAGTATTTATAAATATATTATTATAATATAGAAATATTATAATTTATAAGTTATAACACAAAATGCGGTGGTGGCTTACAGAAAGCATGATAATTTGGATAATAATAACATGATGACAGCACTCATGTAAGTTGTATTTGACGAGTTTCAATATTCATGACATATTACATAATAATAATATCGTGAAAAGAGAAGTTTCATATCGTGGTTTTCTGATATTGAGGATAAAACTTATTATATACATAAAAATATATTAAAATAATATAAGTGTTTATTTTTCGTTTTGAATTGAAATAATAATTTTACAGAAAATAAACGTCGCAAGTATTTCGTTTACTTTTAGTTTTTAACATAATTATATATTATTGTAGCACACGTTGAATATAATTAATAGTGGTGGGTGTTAAGAAAAAGTCCCAGTCTGCTAGCATACTAATGTGTAGGGACAATTTTCGTTTGTTAATAAACATTTTTTAGTTAATCACCTTAATAAATTATAATTAAATATTTTAAAAATTACCGACGAATTAATTAGGTACGTCGATAAAATTCAAAATCAAGATTGTAACTAAATAGTAAACAGCTTTATTTTAAGCAAAATAATACTCATTCTGAAAAGAAGATTTTTTAGTAAACAATATGCAAAGACAAATAAAAATATTATAAATACTGTTTGGTTGAAACATTTTTCCTACATTGTTCTAGTAAATTATCTATCATTTGTAATATTTAAAATCGTAAGTAGATGATAATTAAATAAAAAATAATCAGGAATATACGTATTTATACATAGGTTGTTGATATACAAGTATGTGTATATGTTTGAAGTGTAGTTGTAATTTAATAGGTATTTAAATCGATGCATATATGATACATTGTTCCTAAAATATTGAATCGAATCATTTTTCGTTTAACGTTTGATTTTTTTTAAGAAAAAATAGTTGTGAGATACTGAATTCTACAGTAGTTCGAATTTGCTGCAATAAATTCTGCATAATTAACTATAAGAACCACATGCACGTGTTTCGGTCTAAACCAATAACAATGGTTAAATATCTAAAATAATAGATTGTTTTAGATAACCGATAACCGACTATCTAACTACTTAGCTTTAAAGTTTCGACTTTCGATTTACCATCAAATTTTTATTTATTTTTTCGTTTGCTATTTATTCACTCTTCTTCCTTTGATGTTATAATAAATAGTAATACATTTGTTATATTATTTACTTGACACGTTGTATCCATATTATTATGTAGTTATCAAGCTATATAATATGTCACGAGGGCGACTGATGCGATTATATGTTATAAAATAATAATAATAATAATATTTAGGTAATGCTAAAAAATTATATCTAACTATATATTATAAAAATAATCGCGTAACAAAAAAACTGTATAAAACTTTATATCGCGTTGGATGAAAAAATTTCGAATTAAAAATTGTCTCTATAATATAATATATAAATTTAGATAAGCTAAGCAGTGAACAAAAGCGTTAAGGGTTAACCCTGTACTTCCTCACTTAACTCATCAATACATTGATTTTCAATGAATTATTAAATTATTGGAAAAAAAAATATTTTTAAAACTTTATTAATTTATTAAGTTAGTTCAGTTTTTGAAATAACGAGTGTCTTGTGTTAAATGTATTACTCAGTAGAATATTTGATTTCGGCTTATAGTACATTTATATGAATTGTTAAAATGT